TGTTGTGGGGGGGGGGGGACCGGGGTTGGGTGAGCGCGAGAGCTCAGGAGGGCAGTGTGCAGGGAGCAAGAGAGAGAAAGGAGCGCGCGCCTTCCAGCCTGACTCGGTGACCTCCCCGTCAGAGACCCACGTCATGGTCCCATTCGACGGCACGACCCCGGCCGGGCCCGAGGTGCCGCAGTACTTCACGCCGTTGACGATGAGGTAGTCCCAGAGGCAGTTCGCGCCGGACTCGCAGCCGTAGTACTCGCATCCCTCCACGTCAAACTCCACATCAAAGGCGATCACGTCCAGCTCGACCGGCGGCACGTTGTAGATGGTGCAGTTCTTGAGGTTCGGGTAGTCGTTCGGGAAGTTGGGCGAGGTGGCGCACGAGCCGCCGTCGGTGATCAAACACGGGCCGGTGGCGCAGACGTCGCCGAACGGGCATGGCGGTAGGGACGGCGGCGGCGGCAGGGACGGCGGCGACGGCAGGGACGGCGGCGACGGCGGCAGGGACGGCGGCGGCGGCAGCGACGGCGGCGGCGGCAGCGACGGCGGCGGCGGCGGCAGCGACGGCGGCGACGGCGGCAGGGACGGCGGCGGCGGCAGGGACGGCGGCGGCGGCAGCGACGGCGGCGACGGTGGCGACGGCGGTGGGGAGGGAGGCCTCGCAGCCCAGCAGACCTATAGGAGCGGGTGGGGGGTAGGGGCTGGACACCAGGGCTGGCTGTGCGCGAGAGCTGAGGATGGGCAGTGTGCAGGGAGCAAGAGAGAAAGGAGAGCGCGCCTTCCAGCCAGACTCGGTGACCGAACCGTCAGAGACCCACGTCATGGTCCCATCCGACGGCACGACCCCGGCCGGGCCCGAGGTGCCGCAGTACCTCACGCCGTCGACGACGAGGTAGTCCCAGATGCAGTTTGCGCCGTTCGGGACCTCCACGTCAAAGGCGATCACGTCCAGCCCGGCCTGCGGCAGGCCGTAGAGGGTGCAGCCCTTGAGGTTCGGGTAGTCGTTCGGGAAGTTGGGCGAGGTGGCGCACGAGCCGCCGTCGGTGATCAAGCACAAACCGCTGGCGCAAACGTCGCCGAACGGGCATGGCGGTAGGGACGGCGGCGCCGGCAAGGACGGCGGCGACGGCAGGGACGGCGGCGGCGGCAGGGACGGCGGCGGCAGGGACGGCGGCTGCGCAGCCCAGCACACCTGGAATAGGGAGGGGGGGGGGGGGGGGACCGGGGTTGGGTGAGCGCGAGAGCTCAGGAGGGCAGTGTGCAGGGAGCAAGAGATGCAGAGAAAGGAGCGCGCGCCTTCCAGCCAGACTTGGTGACCGAACCGTCAGAGACCCACGTCATGGTCCCATTCGACGGCACGACCCCGGCCGGGCCCGAGGTGCCGCAGTACCTCACGCCGTTGACGAGGAGGTGGGCGTAGGGGCAGATCGCGCCGGACTCGCAGCCGCAGCAAGCCGTCGCCGGGGCAGTTCACGTCAAAGGCGATCACGTCCAGCCCG